ATATATATGTAAAGGTTTTGCACATTTCATTTTCAATTTATTCCAGGAAAAATCGTTGAGATACCTTTTTAAAATTACCTTTTCTAATTATTGATGAAAGATAACTATTGACATTTGTAAATTGAGCATGTATCTAGCAACCTTGCTGTACTAAAGTTTATCTGTAGACTCTTTTTTGTTTTGTATATAAATAATCATATTGTTTGCAAACAATAGCAGTTTTGTTTCTTTCTTTGCAGTTCTTACATATTTTGATTCTTTTTCCTGTCTTACTAAATGTGCTAGGTACAGTGAACAATCATACAATTCAGCATGGAGCTGCTGAATAGGAGTGGCTAGAGTAGGTATACTTAACCTGTTTCTGAAATGGGAATTTCCTGGTATTCTAATGTTTCAAATTAAGTATGATGTTTATACTTTTTGTTTGATACATTTCACCAGATTAAAGAAATTTCCTTCTAAGTTTGTTGAGAAATTTTATAATTAATAAGTTGAATTATATCTAATTCTATTGAAATATATTTCTCCTCTAATTCATTATTGGAAAGAATTTTCACTAGGTTTTTTAATTTAAAAATTCTTATGACCTGAAATTATCTCCACTTTTTCATGATGTACTTTTTAATACACTAACTTAAATCTGTTTCCTTCCTCTTACTCCAGAAGTTCCATTCCCATTGGCACCAACATAGTCCCTCATTCACTTTATTCCACATTACATGCAATGGTCTTAGAATAATAATACAAACAAAATAGTATCACCATCAATGTGATTACTGAAAACAGGTTTGGCTTTGCAATTCCTATTGTACTAAGATACATAAGATTTGTTTTAGTCAATTAAAGTTTAAGTGAGCTGAAATTAACTTGTGAAAAGTTTTCAGACTTTCAGTACATCTTTAAATTAGGAAAAAAAATTTAATCATGTACTACATTTGAGCTATTGGATATGAGGAACTATGGGCATATATTTATTGATAATTTCCTATTCAACTATTTCTCTGACTCATATCTGATGTATTTCATGATTGCAATACCTGGGCTAAATGATACAGAATGACTGATATTTATTAATACTGAGACTTTGTTTTAGAGGTATGACCAACTTTTCCTTTGCCACCCCAATACTCTTCCCTAAATCATCCAGTCAAAGCTCAAGGTGTGTTCCTCTTTACTGCAATGAATAATAATGGAAACTTTTTCAATTCCTGGTGTATTCTTGGCCTTAAAGCCTTTGACAGGACCAAAAGACCTAATGATAATAAGTTAATTTTATTTTGGTCTTGATATAAATAAATGAACAATAGAAAAATAAATATTTATTAAAACAGGAGAAATTTGAACACTAACTATATTTAATATTAAGCAATATTTTTTAAGGTGGGATAACGGTATTGTGGTCAGGTTTTAGTTCTTAAAGAATATTTTTTAGAAATACATGCTTAAATATCTATAGATGAAATAATACGATGTCTGATTCTTGCTTCCCTGGGGGAAGAAGTGGTCAGAACTATACACAATCAAGATTGTCAAGATGCCTATAATTATAAAAGGTTGTTAATAAGTAAATTATCCTGTTCTTGTATATGATCGAAATTTTCCAAAGGTCTTTTAATTTTTTTTAAATTCTTTTATGAGAGAGCAATATTATAAGATCAAATAAAAGTCCATAGCAAGGAACCCCAAGATAGTCATGCATTACAGTTATGAGAGCCTAAGTGTTCTTTTGAACCACGGTTGTTAAACAGATTGTCCTAAGTGCCTCAGGCAGATAAATGCCTGCATTAACAAAATTCTATGAAGAACCTAGGTGTGCCGGGACCTACAATTAACAAGCTACTCTGACATTCCCCCACACCTGCTTCTGTCCCTTCCTGCGTATCTCATTTCAGCCTAGAGCCCCTGCACACATTCAAGATGGTGGCTTAGGACGGTGAAACAAGCCCCTTTCCCTCCCAGAACATGCGCAGGCGCCGGGCTGCGCAGGCGCAT